AGTCAAGCAGCTCCACACCCACTGCTCTGCCCACAGACTTCAATGGTGGTGACTTCATCTTTCTTCTGTTCCTTTTCAAAGGGAGACAAAAGCTCTGGGAGATTAAAAAAAATTTCAAATATACATCATTTGGTATAAGATAAATTTGGCTTTACCAGGGAAGGGAAAAAAATTCTCTGAGAAATTAAATAAGTCCTTGCCCAAGAAGTCCCAAGGGGATTTCTCTCAGACTTTAGATAAGTCCTCCGTCAAACTGAAAATTCATGATCTCGTCGTTAATTGCAGTTTCCATAGAGAAAATCTGTTAGTAGAACCACGCTGCAACCTCAGTGTCGCCACTCTCTAGCTCTAGCATCTTGGACAACTCTCAGCCCACCAGGCTTCCCTGTCTGTACAGATAGAAAGGGAAATCAGTTATTTTAAAGACAAAAGTTGGCCGGGGCTCACTAGGCTAATCCTCCGCCTGCGGTGGCAGCACCCCGGCTTCTAGTCCCAGTCGGGGCACCAGATTCTGTCCCGGTTGCTCCTCTTCCAGTGCAGCTCTCTGCTGTGGCCCAGGAGTGCAGTGGAGGATGGCCCAAGTGCTTGGGCCCTGCACCCGCATGGGAGACAGGAAGAAGCACGCTTTGGATCGGCGCAGCACACCGGCCGCAGTGCGGTGGCCATAGTGGCCATTCTGGGGCGTGAACCAATGGAAAAGGAAGACCTTTCGCTCTGTCTCTCTCTCTAACTCTGCCTGTCAAAAAAAAAAAAAAAGTGCATAGTGCTGTTCCTGACACAACAAAGGTGCTTCATAATTGCTAGTGCTAGGGCTGTTTATGAAAGGAAACATGGTGGGAAGTCTTTCCATGGTTTCATAGTTTGTTGGCAAATTTAGACACCAGGAAACAGTTCTAGGAATGACGACGCATCCGAGATCAACCAATACTCTCTAAGTAAGAAAACAGGACAACCGAACATTGGTGTCAGAAGTCCCACATCAGTTCTTCATTAAAAAAATACATAAATAAAAAGTCTAATGCTTCTTCTGAGAGAAGAATGTGACAAATAAGAAGTGTTGGAGAAACAGTGATATGCTTTTGTTCTGAATGGATCTATACGTCTTAGATTTATTTACTACATGAATGAAATCCAAACTTGAAGTCAAACCTATTTTTTTAATTCCCAAGTTGCAAGTTGTTATGCACATAGGTATTGACACATGAATTAGACATTTGTATTTAAGAGAGAAATATAAGTACTCAAAAATTAGATATGGCTGGGAGAACCATTATGCTATTCTCTCTACAAAACAGACAGTACAAGAAGCGCTTCAAAATCAAAAACTTGTGGACGAAATTAAATGCAAACCCACTTATTAGCAGGTAGGGAAAATGTGCCCAGAAAAAATGTAAGAAATCCAGGGGAGCTAGACAAGAACCACTTCCTCACTGGGTCATTTCTGGATGGCTTAGTAGGAAATCCAAGGAATAACAACAAAAACCAGGCCTGTGTGCATGCCAATTCAAAGCAGAAGACAAAGGAGCACCATCGAGGTGCTCATGTCACTGGTGACACGAGAGTCTGGGCGCAAGGAACACTCTAAATGAGTGAGCTGACGTCAAGAGCTGACTTAGTCCTACAGCAGCCTGAGTCTGGCCTAGACTCACACAGAGGCACACAAGGAATCCGGCACAAAGAGCCAAGGAGAGGAGGATGGTGACTGAGGTGGAAGCACTGACAGAGAGAGCACAGCCAAGGACAGGCATTCTGCACAGCAGTACAGATGCTCCACCCACTCCATGTTACAGCGCCTGGCTCTGAGTCCTGCCTCTGCTCCCCATTCCAGCTTCTGCAAATGCACACCCTCGCATGCCCTGGGAAGCAGCAGGTGATGATGTCCGCATGTCCAGACTGAATTCTGTGCTCCTGGCTTCAGTCTGACACCACCACTGCTGCTGGGGACATTTGGGAAATGAAACGAGTGAGACCTCTCTTTCTCCGCTCCTATCGCTTTTCAATCCTCGCTCTCAAATTACAAGGAAGGAAGGAAGGAAGAAAGGAGGGAGGGAGGGAGGGAGGGAGGGAGGGAAGGAGGAAGGAAGGAAGTTAGGAGAGAGAAGGAGCGAGAGAGAGAGAGAGAGAGAAAGAGGGCGGGAGAACGAACCATATCTACCTTTTCTTATTGGAAACAACTCTAGAAAGAATATTATGCTATAAGATTATTTAAAAATAAATAAAACTCTATTACTTAAAAAGAAGCAAAAGGAAAGAATAAAATAACATTTATAAATTTATTATAAGAAATAAAAGAGTATAAAGAGCAAAATAATGTCCCTGCAAGAATGCACACATATCAGAAAGATCTAGTTCCAAAACAGATGAAAACTGAAACCAAATACTTTATAATAAGCTAACAAACTGTAAGACAAAGTTAGAACTATGAAGGCCAGACCACTTCAAGTCATACCTATACCACTTGAAGGCGATAAGGACAACAAAAAATGAAGAAAATCACTTATTTCAGAAACGAAGACTAAGGTAGAAACATTACAAAAGTGGATGCACAAAACAGAATAATACATAAAGAGAATTATGGAAAGGAGGGAAACTTGAAAATGAAAATGGAATTAAGGGTTTAAAAACAAACCCAAGAGAAGGCGACAGCTATAGAAGATGGACTAAGCATATAAAATATTCATCAAACAAGAACCTTTCTAAAGAATACTAAAGAAATGGAAGAGACAACAATATGACATAAAAAGTTTTATGAAATAAAACATTTCAGACTACATACACACAAAAGAATATACTGTATACCTAGGAATATCAAACTGAAAATGGCCATCACTGAGAAAATTCTAGTAAAACAATTGGCCTTTCAAGGAAAAAACATTCTTTGGATATCCGGGCAAAGAGACTAAGCCACTTTTAAAAGAGCAAAAACAACAAAAATCAGGTTTTTGTCATATTTGATCAAAATACTGTATAACAAAAGAAAAGGGAATGGCATATTTAAGATGCTCAAGAAAAAAATATCTAAACACAGATTTATCTGGCCAAAGTCACCTTGAAGGTTTTGAACCACAGAATAATTTTATTCACTGGGAGAAACATGAGAACACCATGTCCAGGAGCCCTCCCTGGAGACTCTCACAGAATTAGTTTCAGAAAACCAAAGTGATTTGTGAGTTACGATGTAAGGATTTGTGGTGACCACTAAAGACAAGTCAGTATTTACTTACACAACAAGAATGAGAACTTTAAATATATCTCTTCCATGCAACCCACTCAACACCTTGATAATACAGATGTCGCCACATTTTCAATGAACAGGCAAGGAGAGAACAAAGCTGACACAGTACAGTCTGATATGGGAGCCTGCTCTTTCCAGCTGTGCTGTACAATTACACAGCCCCCTAGAATGTACTGTCCCCTTCTGCTTTGGACTAGATTGCAGCATTTTTGGTGTTAAAAAAAAAAGTCATCACATGTTGATCAAAAATTCCAATTGGAAGTTGTGTATTTTAATGAATATAGGGTAGTTGTTTTGGAAAACAAAATATTTTGGAGCACAAATTTGTCATAAAAATGATTAACTGAAGTCCTAAATGGTATGAGATATACAGTTTCTATAGTCACACATACTTATGGCTACTTACATTTTCCTAACCATAATAATGGATAAAAGATTAATCAGAAGATCAATCAGTTGCAAAATGAGGGACAAACATTCACTTTCTCAATATCACAATTATCTGATTTTTTTGTCACCATCTGTTGCTTTTTAAAAATTTTTTATTTCATTATTTTATTCATTTGAGAGATTGACAGAATTCCCAGTCTCTGGTTCACTCCCCAAGTACCTGCAATGGCCAGGGCTGTGCCAGGCTAAAGCTCAAAACCAGGAACACGAACCAGGTCTTCCACGTGGGTAGCAGGGACCCAATCACTTGAGTATCACCTGTTGCCTCTCAGGGCCTACATTAGCAGGAAGCTGGAATCATGAATAAAGCCAGGACTCAAACCCAGGCACTCCAACATGGGGTGTGGGCATCACAACCAACAGTTTAATCACAAGGCCAAATGCAGCCAACAAACTTTTCTAAGCATCTAGCTTGTACCAGGCACTGCTTTGAGGCAAGCTTCAGCCATTGGCTGGGAAGTACGCACACCATGCAGGGCTTTCTGAAGGAAATCACATAGAAATTGGGGAGAAAAATCTACAAAAAAATGAAAGAGTATATTTCATGTCGTAAGCATTGGCAGACCAAAGGATCTCACAGAGGCAAAAGGATAACAAGAATAGGATTCAGGGCTGGTGCTGTAGTGCAGGAGGTTAAGTCACCACCTGTGATGCCGGCATCCCATATGGGTGCCAGTTTGTGTCCTGGCTGCTCCACAAATTCCAATCCAGCTCCCTTCTGGTGTACCTGGGAAAAGCAGCAGAAGATGGCCCAAGTTCTTGGACACCGGCCACACACGTGGGAGACCTGGATGAAGCTCCTGGCTCCTGGTTTTGGCCTGGTCCAATTCTGGCCATTGTGGCCATTTGGGGAGGAAACCAGTGGATGAAAGAGTTCTCTCTTGCTTGCTCTCTTGCTCTCTCCCACTCTGTAACTGAAAGTTTCAAATAAATAAATCTTTAAAAAACAAAAATCTGTGGTGAAAGTGGGCATTTAGCCTAGTGGTTAATGCCCATATCTCTTATCAGAGAATCTGGTAAGATTCCTGGCTCCAGCTCATTTTTCCATCTTCTTGCCAATGCAGACCCTGGGAGGCAGCAAGTGATACCTGAAGTAGTTGAGTTCCAGCCACGCATGTGGGTAGCATGGAATTTGTTTCTTGCTCCTGACTTCAGTCCCCAGTTCCAGCCCCAGCTGTTGCCGGCATCTGGACAGCAAACTTGGGGCTGGGAGTTGTCTGTCTGTCTCTGTCTCCCAAATAAGTGAAATTTACAAATTAAAAAAAGTCTATGGGAACCAAGTAAAAATTACCAAACTCAGTATCTGAATACTTACATTTAATTCTTTTTTTAGCACTTCTTCAAGAAGATAGCCCACACGTTCTGTATCTTCTTTTGTGTCCATAACCATACAAATCTCTTGCGAGATTCTCTCTGAGATAAAAAAAAAAAAAGGAACAATAAAACATTACACTTCAAAGAAAACACGGACCAGCATCCGAGTGTGGTAAAATCTGTGCTTACCTGAGGTTCATAGCTTTGGGCTAGAAAAGGGAGGTTTTGGCTTCAGGTCAAGGGAAGTGACCAAGCATTATGCACTGAAATGGCCTTGATGAGCTAGAACACCCCAGTCAACAAATCTACATGTTAGTCACTTTGTGGGGGTTGGGAGGAGGTCAAGCCACTGAACAATCAACAGATGGATGAGATCTCAAGAAAAACAGACAGGAGTTGGCACTGTGGCGTAGTGGGTTCAGCTGCGGCCTACAGCCCAGCATACCATCTGAGCACCAGTTCCAGTACTGGCTGCTCCACTTCCGATCCAGCTCTCTGCTAATGCACCTGAGAAAGCAGCAGAAGATGACCCAAGTCCCGGGGTTCCTGCATCCACGTGGGAGACCCACAAGAAGCTCCTGGCTCCTGGCTTTGGTCTGGCACAACCCTGGCTGTTATGGCCATTTGGGGAGTGAACCAGTGGACAGAAGATTTTTTTCTCTCTCTCCCTCACTCTAATTCTGACTTTCAAATAAATAAATAAATCTTTAAAAAAAAAAAAAAGACACATTGACAGGGAGTAACTAGAAGTGACAACAACTTGGCTACCAATCGATCTTTAAATGTTTATAAATTGTCCCAAAACCAGAGAGATTTTCATCTCCTTGGGAGTTTCACTTTCTAGATAATACATCTCCTGCCCCCAGACTCACTGTGCCACATGGATCATCGGCCAACTACAGCATTTTACTTTGCATTCCTACAGGATTTCAACTCAATACCACAAACTTCTTGTGTTGACCATGACCACAGCAAGTGAAAATGAAAATCGCTGAGAGAATTACAGGAAATTTATCTGTACTCCCATGTTTATTGTAGCTCAATTCACAATAGCTAAGACATGGAATCAACCTAAATGCTATCATCTGAAGACTGAATGAAGAAATTATTGGAAATGTACACCATGAAATACTATACAGTGGTAAAAAAAAATAAAAAGGAATCCAGTCATTTGCAAAAAAAAAAAAAGGAATGAAACTAGAAAATATCATACTTAGTGAAATAAGCCAGTACCAAAGGGACAAATACAATATGTTCTTTCTGACCTGTGATAACTAATATAGCACCTATGAGGCAATCTATAGAAGTGAAATTGACACTTTGAGAAGCAATGACTTTGAACAGCCCTCATCTTGACTGTTAGGGAACGTTTTTTTTTTTTTTTTTCCACATTATCTGTTGAACTCTTAACATAGTTAATCATATGTGTATAAAGTTAATTGAAAATAGATCTTAGCAAAAAAATAAGAGTGGGCATGAGAGAGAGAGGAGGAAGACTGGTGTTAGTGTGGGTACGAGGGTGGGCATGGTGGAAAGAATCACCATATTCCTAAAGTTGTAATTATAAAGTGTAGGAAGTTTGTAACTGTAAAGCTGCACAGTTCTGCATATATTCCTACAGACTTACTTCTAAGGGTACAATTTAAAAACTATCCATGGAACCCAAAATCCCCTTAAGCTGGGTGGTAAAAATAGCATTTTAAGTGCTAAAGTGATCATATGGATAGGATTAAGTGTTAACATGATCACATAAATAGGATTAAGTGTATGGTAATAATAATAGAATTGAAAAGGAGTGAATGTTCCAACCTGGGAAGCAGTCTACACAGCAGACTCATAGAATGACAATTGCTTTACATGCACTCTGACCTCAGAATCAGTCCTTAAGGCATTTTGGTCTGGCTAAAAAACCCACTAGAGCATTTCAGGCATGGAAAGCAAGACACTGTGACCACAAAGGTCATACATGAAGGACCTTTGAGGGTGAGACCCCAGTGGAAAGAAGTGATCATCAAAGAAGGATGTACTTTTCTCTGAAGGGAGGAGAGAACTTCCACTTTGCTTACGGACTTGTCTAAATACTGATGGAGTTTGTGGATTCAAAAAGTTTCCATAATCTATGCAGTTCATGTCAAGAGCCTCAGGTGATCATTGGCATCATATGTAAGAGTGTTAATTATTAAATTAACAACAGGAGTCACTGTGCACTAACTTCCCATGCAGGATCTCAGTCCTCAAAGAATTGTATTATGAGAGTTAATAGTAAAACTTGTTCTTAAAGATTTATTTCATTTTAGTGTTTAAGTGGAGGGTATTCTTATTGTCTCATAAGTTATAGCTATGTCTAAGTGCTCACAAAAGATGTATCACTCTTGGGTGCTTCTTTAAAGTTAATTAAGTTTCTCAAAAAAAATAGTGAAATTAACTTCAAAATGCAAAGAAGTTGAACAGCCCTTGTCTTGACTGTTGAGGAAGTTTTTGTGTGTGTGTGTGCAAATTTATTGAACTCTTTACTTAGTATAGAATTGGTCTTCTGTGTATAAAGTTAATTGAAAATGAATCTTAGTGGAGAATGGGACTGGGAATGAGAGAGGGAGGAGAAGGATGGGTGGGAGTGTGGGTAGAAGGGTGGGTATGGTGGGAAGAATCACTATATTCCTAAAGTTGTACTCATGAAATGCATAAAGTTTATATTCCTTAAATAAAAGGTTTCTTTGGGAAAAAAAAAAAAAAAACAAAGACTTACAGTAAACTTAAGTCTAAAGTTTGACTGGCATTTGACTTGGTTGTTTTTGACATGAGCAACTCTATATAACATGTACCAAGTAACCATTTACCTAGCAATTGTTCATGAGTCCTCCAAAGCACCTGAGGAAGGATCAATCATTTAAAACAACAACATCACCAATTAATACTCCTACTACTACAACCAGCTTACCAAGAATGTGTTGTGTTCCAGGACTACCTGCAGTCTAAATCCTAAAGCCCATGATGACCCTCCAAGAACAAGGTTATTCCCGAATCTGTATAACACATTCGATAACATTCATTTTGGAAGAATGAAGCAAGCTGCCGAAGATCAGAAGATATCAAGTAGTAGAAAAAGGATTCAAATCCAAAGAAATAATGCTTAGGAATTCACTGCTCTTCTACAGCACCAAAACAGAAAGAAAGGAAGAAGACATAGCATCTATTAAAAAAAAAAAGCATTTTGATAAGAAATATCTTAGTATTTCATAGTAATTATTCCACCTAATGCCTCAAAATAAACATGAGAATACTTCCAAAAGTTTGTGGAATAATGGAATTAAAGGAAGTTTGCTTTGTTGCAAACAAACACACATACAAAGAGGGTTTTTTTTCATATTTTTTAAAGGTTTGAGTACTCTGTAGTATTTGTACATTTTGGGGGGAGGGTACAGTTCAATAATTCAATGCATACATACAGTGTGAACTGATCTTACCAGGCAATTGGCCTTTCATTTCCTTACTTTTCCTGTGTGCTTGGAGCCTGCCAGCTCCTCTCTTCCTATCCTTTTCGTTGTATACTGTTTTACTGTACACCACACTCACTCCACTGTGCTGCAAAACACCAGATACTCTGCACTCACTGGGGGGCATTTGGAACTGATTGCCCAAACTCCCCTCCACCCTTCCTCTCCCCACCCCTCCCAGCCTCCAGGAATAGCTATTTTAAATTCAGATTGACTGCTTCATTTAACTTCCACAAATGAGACAGATCATAAGGTATTTGCCTTGCTGTGTCTGGCTTATTTCACTTAACAAAATGATCTCCAATTCCGTCCATTTTGCTGCAATTTTCAGGATCTCATTCTCTTTATGGTTGAGTAAGTACCATTCCATTATACACACACACACACACACACACACACACACACACATACCACATTTTCTTTATTCATTCATCCTCAAGCAGACACCTAGGTTGATTTCATGCCTTGACTATCGTGATAGTACAGCAGTAAACCTGCAAATACAGATGTCACCTTCACACGCAGATTTACACACCCCCATTTATTATTGTTTTTTAAGTTTTTTTTTATTCACTTGAAAGGCAGAGTTATAAAGAGAGTGAAGGAGTAGGGGAAGAGAGAAAGAGAAAGAGAGAGATCGATCTTTCCTCCACTGATTCATTCTCCAAATGGACACAAGGGCTAGCCCGAAGCCAGAAGCCTGAAACTCCATCCAGGTCTCCCACGTGGGCAGCAAAGGCCCAAGCACTTAGGCCATGTTCCACTGTTTTCCCAGGTGTGTTAGCAGGGACCTGGATCAGAAGTGGAGCAGCTGAGACCTGAACCAGTGCACATATGGGCTGCCAACGTCACAGGCAGTAGCCTAACCTGCTGTGTCACAATGCCAGCCCCTATATTCAGTTTTTTGAGGAGCCTCTATGTTGTGCTTGGCTGTATTAATTTATACTCTTGCCAACAGTGAATAAGGTTTTCCATTTCTTCACATCATTGCTTTCCTCTATTTTGACTTTTGTGAATAGTCCTTGTAATTGTAGTGAGACGACACTTCATTCTGCTTTTGATTTGCATTTCCCTGAAGGTTAGGGATATTGTGCATTTTTTCATGCATTTGCTGGCCATTTTTATTTCTTTCAAGAAATGTCTGTTAAGGTCCTTTGCCCATTTCTTAACTGGACTGCTTGTTTTGTTGTTGCTCTTGCTGTTGTTGTTGTTGTTCTACATGCAGGTCTTTGATGCACTTGAACTTGATTTTTGCATGGGGAGAGAGGTGGAGATCCAGTGTCAAGCACATTCAGGTTCCAGCAATGTTAATGGCAAAGATGGTCTCCACAGTGTGTTTTGGCGCCTTTGTCAAAGATTGGTTGGCTGTGAATGGTGCGGCAGAGGGGAGGGAGGATCCATTTTCGGGACCTCTACTCTGTTGCATTGGCCCATGTGTGTTCTTACACCAGTGCCATGCTCTTTTTGTTATAATAGCTTTGTAGTATGTCTTGAAATCTGGAATGGTGATGCCTCTAGCTTTGTTCCTTTTGTTTAAGACTACTCATTGTGTTTTGTGCTCCCATATCAATTTTAGGATTGTTTTTCTGCTTTCATTAGAGTGTC